CTTTCTCTTCCTTTTCCCTGCTGACTCAGTTCTGCTTTTACACTTGGTCTGATGCACTGATTATTCTTCAAATATAAATACTAATACTGCCACTTTGTACTTGGAAAGCATTTTAATAGCCTGTCGTGAATGAAATACGTCACCTGTCTTGATACAATAAACTTAAAAGAACCACAACTTTTCTTTGGTTTAACTGAGCATATTATTGCCTTTATCACCTTCCACCACTCAAACCTCATTTATGCTCCATTAGCAGCATGTTTCTATATAGCTTTTGTCTTTTTCAACCTGTGGACAGAATACACTGTCTTGCATACTCACAGTATTAATAAGGCATATCATGTTGATATGCAAACTTAATAATATATATTGGTGCCCTGTCTGTTTAAACAAGTAATGCAGGATCTTGGACTTTAGGATTCACTCGTCTGAAAAAGATTCCAACAAATTTGGCCACAAAGCTGGAAAATATTCAGCTTTTAGTGCAAATCAATACTTCTAAAGAAGCAGTTCAGCACTTCTTTAAAACTTCTGTCTTCTGAATTGACGCAGAATCAAGACTTCCCTAGAAAACACTGACATCACTTCCCACACATACCAACTGTAGACTTCAGTGAAGTGATAAAGGTGGAGCCTGATGTTTAAAGGCCTTTTTGTCCTTCTTTGACTCATTGTGATTAATAATGTCATGGCAGACCTCTTTTTAAAAACCTTCTTTCTGTTCTCCTCTGTCCCTTTAGTGCAGCGTTGCTCTTCCAGCTTTGGTGGGAGTGTTCGCTGCACGCTTAAATTGGACCATGACCTCATTGTGTTGCAGCTCCGCTGTGCTCTGCTTGTCCTGTTTGTTTGGATTGTGGTCACTGTCTCCCTCCCAGTGACCTTTAACCCCGTCTACCCTGCTCGAAGTGGAGAAGCTGACACGCCCACATTCACACACACGCCTGCTTCGTACTAATGTCACTTTAATCCTGCTGTTTCTCTGCTTAAACTGGTTAATTAGGGCTTTTATCGGGAAACACATTAGAGGGAAGGTGTGTGGAAGCATTGAATTGACTATTTAAGATGAGGTGAGGACAGCTGATGTAGATCAGCAGGGTTATCTACTGACCTACACGATCTCCCACAAACGAACACAAACTCTGCAGAGTCATGGAAGGAAGGAAGGATTCCCCTTGAGGGAGTATTTCTTCTCATATCCCCACTCACATCTTACCTTCTTTCATTTTTGTCCTCTCCGTGTGCACATTGAGATGGCACATAATCTGCTTATCTGTCACTTCCTGCTAATAAGCTTTGACTCGTCTAACCTAGCAACCACTTAAAGGTGAGACCGATGGTGGAAAAACCCCAGCAGGTCAAAATCAACGTCACGACACTCAGGTAGACACAGGTATTACCAAGTAGATGAAAGCATCTGTGAAACAGGGACTCGAACTGTTGTGACTTTGTTTCTGTGCCTGTGTGACTGATCAGATCTGCTTTAATCCCAATGAGTCAGTGTCTGGATTTATTACACGGACAGATTACGATCAACAGGGTGTCAGGAGGTGACTTCAGAGGCGTGTACTGTAAAGTTCAACATAACCAGGCTTTCTTGACAAAACCTAAAACAGGTTTTGTCAAGTCTCTCACAGCACAAAAGGAGTTGTTGACTGAGGTGGAAAACTGAGTATTTGGAGCTTTCAGCAAAAATACCAAATTGAAAGATCAGGTTGGGCCAAGAAATAAAAATAAATAAATAAAGGTTTATTTTATGTGTCACAGATTTAAGAATAAAAACTAATTATTATTATTAAGGATTGTGTTAATCATAGTGTACTAATTAATGAAGGACTATAGCAGTACCACAGTGCTAAAACTGTACATACTTAGGTGTCACTATAGAGGCTGAATAATAGCTCAGTAAACATGCATGCATGATCATTTTTATTATCTTGTTTTGTTGTTTGCAGTGATTTCAAATTGCTTATTTTTATGCAACAACTTGAAACCCCAAAAACCCTCAAAAGGTAAAACAGTAATTTCTTACTTTTGAGAACTCAAACAAATGAAGCTAAAAACAATCTAAATTTTCTTTTAATCCATTTGGTGACCTACTTCAACTCATAAACCATCAATAAATGCACGGGATTCATAATTTCAGCCAGTGACCGCCAAGTTCCCCCTGAAAAGATCCCCATATTTTCTTTTGTAATCAGGTAAGCATGCATTAGAAGAGTAAAGTAAATGTAGCTGCAGAGAAGTAAATCTGTCAGATTAGTGTTCTCCTTAAATATAAAGCACTTTAGCGCGGACCTAAACTGGCGTTGCTGTTTTTTCTCAGAGCCATAAACCTCAGTGTTTGCACATGCTGTATTGGCACCTTGTCTTTACTTTGAGCACTGTGTGCGTGTGTTATCCATATAAGGGTGTATGTGCCTTCAAAGCCTGCCTAGATTCTGCTGTGCGTGTGTGTGTGCGTGTGTGTGTATGTGGTTTTTAATAGATGCTGGGGAGAGCTGCACTATGCCCATGTAAGCTCAGACTGCTGGGGAATTAAAGTCTGTCTAGAGCATCTGCACTGGCACTCTCATATATAAACAGAAAATAATAGAAATCAGGTTTAAATTCTGCTTTGAACATCTGGAATCCACTGCTTTGAGACTTAAAGTTGTAGCTTTAAAAAATTATGTGACTTGGAGAAAAAACAACATCTGTGGAGAGGAGCTGATTATTTACTCCGTTGTTCTATAATCTGCTGATAATTTTTTGACATTAAAATTTGAAGATGTCAAGTTTTCGGCCACACAATTAATTGGTTTTATTATAGGAAGACAATGTTTGGCTTTTTAAAGAGTTTAGATGAGCTGCAGTGAGCTTTCGATAAGTCAAAGCGGTTAGACCACAAGGCCAGGCAGAACATCCATAGGATTTACCCCCTTATAGTTCTTATAAAGGAGGATGCTGCTCTTAGGATAAAACGATTTTTGTTTTACATGTTAAAATATTTTTGCCATTTCAAGATGGGAGTCTTTGGATATTGATTCACTTTAGAGTTAGCCTAAAGTGGCAACTAGAGGAACTGCAGTCTATAGCCCTTTTATATGTTGGTTGTTGCTTGGGTACTTCCCCTGTAACACATGGAGGCTTTCCTGAAATGTTTAAGGAAACATTTAAACCTTCCTCGTGGTCATTTCTAACTCCAAAACATCAGTATTCAGGTTTAAAGTTGGTAACAGCTGTTATTTGAGCTACATATATGGATATGAATCACTTTCTTACCTCTGAAAAGCGGCCATGTGTCTTCAGAGGCTTCTAGAAACCATTTTATTTGGCTCTGAGGTCAACATCCCTGACTTTACAACCCATTATGTAACGTATTTGTTTCATGTGACCTGAATTACAGTTTTATGCACGTAGCCTGCAGTTACATATAATGCATTCTCATTTAGGATTCATTAAAAGGGTTTGGATGTGTATGTTTGTGTTCTCATATTGGTTCTTTTTGTCTTTATTGTGAACATTTCCTATCAGCTGACCTAAGTTTGGACCTTCCCCACCCTCTGGCCTCCCCCTATCTTCTAGGGTTATTTATAAAACCACAGTGCTGATGTGTGATCTGCGACTCTCACAGTGAGGTCTGTTGTGTGGCTGACTTGTCAAACATACATGCCACACACATCACAGGCTGTTTGAATCGGTTATGCATGCTCTTCAAGTCCACGTGGCCTCCGGTCAGTCTCCTTAAAAACACTTTTTTTTTTTTGTGCTGCTTATGTTATATTTTCAAATGCGATTCTCATGAAGTGTTAGCTCTTTCCTCCAGGATGTTTTAGTCTAAAATTAGGAGTCAGTCGCTTATCATGAGACCTACACTGATGTAAAAAGGTGTTTTTGTCATGTACTCGCCCTCCAGTCAGAGCTGTTAGTTTAAAAATAAATAAAAAAGCAGACACTTGACACCTGTTCCTGTTTATATTCACAGGAAGGTATATTTTGACAAAATATATTCATGACAAATATAAGTGGGGATTACATTTTGTCTGTTGCAGAGCACTTATATCAACAAACATGATCTTAACAAGTTTACTCTTCTCAAGCTGATATGAGGGGGCGGGGCCACACGGAAACCCCCTTAATACTCGCTGGTGTTATTATGATGACGTATTGTAAATACGCTTATACTCCTTGCTGCCTTTTTTTTTCCTTCTGACTTCTTGTTATTGTTATAAATCAAATGGTAAAGAAGCAGCCACTTCCTGTCTTCTTTTTACTTAATTTATTGAATTTTTTTTTTTTGTGTAATAAAAAAAAAAAAGCTGGCTTGTTGTACGTATAAAACCGGGCTAAATATGATTGGGTTTAATACTATTAAATAGCTTTATTTATTCATTTATCCATCCATTTTCTGCCTGGGAACACCGGATAACCAGATTATATCATCAAAATTTAATAAGCATAGTTTAAAAATCAGATGATGGAGGTTAAAAAAAATGCTTGATTTGATTTATGTTAGCATGACTTATTCGTTCGAATCCTTTTTTAAATTTTTTTGCACGATGAGAAAAATATGAAACTCTACACATTTCGAGCTGTCGGGGTGCTCGTTGCTTTCCTTAATGAACTTAAACAGAAAGGAGGATTGTGCAGGAGCAGAGCTTCTTCTTGGCAGCTCTACACTCACCCTGAGCACCTTGGAGCTCTGGTTATCTGTTTTAAGGCTTGTTTATAAAGAGATCTTTTTGGTTTTAAAGTTGTCTCACCCACTTGAAACCAACAAGAGATACAGTACATTATGTCAGAGTAATGTGCACAGCTTTGTAGTATTGCCGTGTATCATCCTGTAAAATCAGAAAATAAAACGCTGGTTCTTGATTTGGATTAGAAAGAATTATTCCCTCCCTCGTTTTTGTGTCCCACCGCTGTTGTCTAAACAGAGGATGTATTGTTTTAATAGTCCTGGCTGGTTTGTGACTTATCATGTCGCGTTTCCTTTCCTTCTTTGTCCCTTTTCTTCTAAGGATGTGGAGAAGGAGAGAGAGTTGCGGACAGAGTTCAGCAAAGAGGAAATCTGGCAGAGAATCGAGCAGTACAACTTGCTAACCAAAGACCACCTTAAAATGACGCTGGTGAGTATAATATGCACACACACTCACGCAAACACACCTTTTAAAAAAACAAAACCCATCAACCAGGGCTGTCTTAATGGTTCCACTCTCCAGACTCCTGCAGAGCTGTGCAGGCTCTAAATCTCAGATTTTGAAGTTTATAATGTTGCCGTGTTACTTCTGCCTCCCTCCTGCTCCCAGCATTCCTCAGTGCTCGCATCAGAGTGATGTGATGTTATTCCTGCTATTGTTCTCGCCCCGCAGTGTTTTCATTGGCAGCGTGACAGGTGTCTGAAGTTGTCTCTCTCCACTTCAACTCAGAGTGAATTTCAGTAGAAATGAGAGATGTCAGGTGAAACTGGGGTTTTCTGGCCGTTAAAGCACCACATGAAAGAATGCAAGCATTTTTGAAGGAGCGGCAGGTTACAGAGGATGTTTCCTGAGGTTTTTTTTCCCTTAGTCATGGAAAATCATCTATTTTCAGACAAGGAGTTAAGCTGACCGCACTCTTAACAGATGGGAAACGGCACATCTAAAGGCCAGTAGCTTCTAGTCTGACACTCAGAGGGGAGCCCAGACATAATAACTGAGTCTATCCACTAAAAATCACATTTTAACTGGCCAATAAAAAGTTTACATTCATTTATACATTTGAATATATGCGTTTTTAGAATATAAAGACAATAAATGGACAAAAAAGCTGCATAGACACATAATATCAGCTTATATTGGTCACTCATGCCCAAATCAGCATGTATGTAATGAGATCAAATGCCATACTACTAGAGCATTATATAAAGATTAAAACAAAGTGTTGTCTAAGGCTAATCTGTGCAATTTTCCAGTTGATAATAAAGTCTGTTGGGAACTTGAGCTACCTTTAAACACTCCATTGTTAATTACTTGTCATTGTTTTGCTTTTTTATAACTGAGAAAAAAGACAAACTCACTGATTAAGGAAATAATGATGATACTTTCCAAAATATTTTATGCTGAAATGAGTCATAACTCAAAGTGGGTGTATTCACAAGATGCTCATCGTGAAACTTTAACTTTCACAGTCAGTTTGTTCCACAGTCATTATAATAATGTCTGTAAATGGGTTTCAGAGCTCACATTCAATCCTTTAAAAAAAAAAGTCTAAATGTTTATTTTCATTTATATTTAAAAAAAACAACTGAGAACTGAGAATATTTGTTACTTTTGCAGTTAATAGATCATCAGGACAGTTTAGAGCCGATTGCTCTGCATATTTTAAGTAGTGAGTGGATGAATGGGTAGTTTCACTATGAGAAGCCTGCATGTTTCTGTTTCAGCACACCTTTTCTGTCCAGTTTCTGTCTTCATTCTTTAGGATTTGTCTTTCTTGTTCATCCCGTTTTTGTCTTTTTATCATTCCATCTTTGACGTCTACTTGGTTTTTTTACTTCTCTTCATTCTTGGCCTCTTTGTCTACTCGTGACCTTCACACACACTCCTCCCAGCCCCATATGGAGTAATGAGATTAAGATAGTCTTCCTCCATCTGGGGCCATCTGTCCTGCAGGTCACACTGGGCTTATTGGGTGAACTGGGCTCACTTAGAGAGATCATGTAGCAGCTACCATAGTGGCCACATTAAAACATTAACTCTGTCTCTGTCAGGGTGCGGGCGGTGTGTACACGGGTTTCATCAAGGTCCAGATGGATTTGCGGAGGCCAATGACGGTGCAGGGAAGTCAGACAAGAGCTGGGGAGGCCTTCTATCTGCCCCAAGGAGTCTCCAACACCCTTCATGTCAGCTCTAAAACCACAGTCAAAGAGGTTGTTAATGCACAAGCAAACACACACATGTGAACACACTGCAGCCTGATTAAAAGGTTAATTATGATCTGATGACAGACCGGTTGAAGTCGAGAGACAGACAGGGCTAAGTTCATTGATTTCACTCAGTTTTGAATGTTCTTTATCCTTTTAAGCAATAAATTAACGACAAAGCAACACAAAAATCTTCTAGAAGAGCTGTCAGAGTAATATTGACGGGTGTTTTTCTTTCTCGCGTGTCTTCAGGTGATCGTCGGCTTGCTGAGCAAATTCACAGTTGCAGACAACCCGGCTAAATATGCCCTGTACAAGAGATACCGGCGGGAGGAGCAGGGTAAGACTGGGTGTGAGAGACGGGGTTTCATGCCACTATTGCCACGCTCGGTATGAGGTGTGTGTGTGTGTGTGTGTGTGTGGGCCTCACCCTCATGTTGGATGCCAGAGGCTCTCCCTACTATAACAGCTCACCAGGGATACCCACACATGCAGATATAAATACAGTGCACATCCATGCTGTGAATGAGCAGCTGTTACAGGCTGTTGGGTGTCACACGATGTCTTTCAGTGAGGAGAAGACAGTTTATTAACCTTATGCATTGATTTAAAACTATAAACACAACCTGCAGATGCTTGTTTGAAGCTTGTGAGTCATTTCAACTCAAATTTTTATAGATTTAGAGTGTTTTTGTGTGTTTTCTCCCCCTTCTTTAAACGCTCCTGTTCTGGTTTGCATTCATGACTGGAGACGTACAGCTAATAAAAGACAGAGTCTAGACAGACGCCTGACTGCAAACACTTGAGGACTTTTAATGAACTTGTCTGGTGTTTCAGGAGAAAAGTTAAGTGTCTGAGATTTAACTGCGGTCTGGAAATGTAGAAACATCTTCGACTTTGTTTCAAATTGAGACGAGACGACTCACGATGTGGTCGAGGAGAACTTGGATATGTAAAGAAGAGAATCATTTGAACCAAAGCTTGTAGGGATGTACAGGGTGCAGAAACATCTCCTTCAATTGTTTTGCTTCTGCTCACTGTTTTTTCTTTAGCTCTTTGCTTTTATTTTAATCCCTTCTGAAAGTTAGAAAGCCTTAAATTGTAAATCTTCTAAACCAATAAATGATGGTCAACATACAAATATGCAGAATTTGTTAGGAAGAGACAAAAGATGCAATTGTAAGCGACACACAGTCAGACTGTTTTCACCGCTGTCGGTTAGTACTGCTTTGTCAGAAAACCGGTCTTTGTTGTGTGTGCTGTGGCATACATTAAGGCAGAAGTGATGCTGATTGGTCACTCCTTTGAGATTTTGTTAACGAGCAGGGTTACTGGTATGCCAGTGCCCTCACTGGCATACCAGTAACCCTGCTTATTTAACCCAAACTGCAATCTTTTCCTAACCCTAACTAAGTAGTTCTAAAACACAAAGTGCTCAAAAGGAGTAGAAACCAGAGTCTTCTGGCTGTTAACCCAAGAAACGATGCCCCCAGCACTCTCCAACCTCCTTACAAGGACTTTGTATCTTTGTTAAGCATGAGCAATACTTTTGGGGCCAGAGGGCTAAAGGGCACCTTGCAGAAGGAACATCACAAAGTGTCACTGGGCTGAGAACACACTGATGAAGCAGGAGGTCTGTAAATGAATATACACACTACCCTGACATCCTAATTACACCGTAAGCCCTGAAGAATCGGCTTTTGTCCTCAGATGCTGTCAGCAGACAAACCGATGAGTTTTCAGATTGAGGTTTGGAAATATGTGAATGTCAGAATAATCAAGCCTCTAGCACCTTCTACATCTTTTGCAGATGTAAATACATTGCTGGCAATAACAGAATCTGTCCCTCATTGTCTGTTCCTGTAAACTACCGCATGGTAATATGGCGCTCCCATCCTTTCATCCTTTGCCAAATCCATTTATATGTGCACAGAGGAACAGCTGCCTGTGGTTGCATGCAGCGTGCATACTGTACAGACTAATTAAATCTGTTTGTGTGTGTGTGTGTGTTTTGCAGTTTATACATGCAAGTTGGCGGATGCTGAGAAGCCGTTGTTTCTTCGCCTGGTGGCGGGACCCGACCCAGACCTGCTCAGCTTTGTCCTGAAAGAACAGCAGACGGGAGAAGTCATGGTAACACTGATTATCACCACACTTCAGCTTTATTGACATCTTCCTGGCCTCTGTGCTCTTTCGTCTCCGAGTTCAGCCATTCCCAAACGAGACGCTGCTGTGGCCCATTTCTAAACTTTAAACTCTAATGCACAATTCTTTTGTGTTTTCATTTGATTTAGATCTTCTGAGGATTTACTTATTGAGGCTGACCTGCCATAAACTGTTTGATCTCAAGTATCTCCCAGCATTTGCTCTTAACAAACCTATGAGTTTATGATTTTTTTAAAAAAAGGCAGAAAATGAAAAAGTACCTTTTTTTTTTTTTTTATCCCCATGACTTAAATATTCAATCACAATTTTTAAGCAAAAATGACAAAAACTGGAAAACTGGCAAAGAAAGTGACTGTAAATTAATTCTGTAGTACCTTTACAGCCCAACAGGGGGCCACAGTGTTTGGCAATCACCATCCTAGTCTTTTTTTCCCCCCGTTCCTTTTAAATCTTTTACTTTAAGTTATCATTGTACATTATTGTTATCATTCTATATTCAAACCTAGCAGCTGACTTTTTAAAAAAAGAATTGTTTTCCTAGTGAAACTTCTACGACAAACTTTTTAAAAAACGTGTTTTTAAAAAGTAGTAAAGGTGCCATTGTTGTTATCCCAAGATGGATGCTACGCATAAAAAGAGAAATAACCACTCCTACTGTACTATCAAGCATCATCCATAGACATATACTTTATCAATTAAAAAGGAAAAAACAGAACTGAGTGAAGTTTTCTTGCTTTTCTCCTCAGTGGGATGCCTTCTCCATCCCTGAGCTGAAAAACTTCCTGCGGATCCTTGAAAAGGAGGAACAGGAGCAGAAGGACGCAGTAATTCGTCGCTATGAAACCTACCGGCAGAGACTGCAGGAGGCACTGCTGGAGGTCAGGGGGCCTTCTTAAGAGGATATAACCTCCTTGAAAAAGGACTACTGCCCCCTAGAGGGACGAAGGGGATGTTTTGTTTTGTTTTTCATTTTTAATCTCCTGGTGTACATTTTGATGGAGGGAGGGATGTGAACACAGAATCAGGAGAGAGGATCCAGCACCTGGAAGAAGGGATAATAAAGGATGACAAGAGGACAGAAAAAAGAGACTGCAAATAAAAAAGACGAACAGACAGAATTTTGGTTGCTGGATTCAAGATTTCAAACTGCTTCCCGCTCGGCTCCGTCTGCCTGCAAACACCAAAGATTCACTCACTGTGCCATATCCGTTCATCCTCTTCCCTGTTCGCCGTCCATCCCTCTCTTCTTCTTCTTCTTCTCTCACTCTGTCCTGCTGTCACATAATTTATGCAGTTCATCCTTTTTGTTTCCCTCACCTTTTTATCCTTTGAACTTGTGAAAGACTCAAGGCCATATGTTGAATTATTTTTATTTAATTTGTGTGTTTTAAAGGTCTGTACATATTTTTTTTTTTTTAATTTATATGGGTGAAGCTTTTTATTGCTTTTTGTTTTTCTTTTTAAAACAGTCTTATTTTTGTTTTATTGTAGAGGCGGAGCAACAATCTGCTTGTTGACACAGATGCTGAGAATAGTTTTTTCAGACTTCAGCAGGACACAGAAAATCCAAACATCAGAGCATGAAAGACCATTTAAAAAAAAGTTATTATCATAAAATGGAGTTATTTTAACCCACAGTAGTTGTAAAAGTAAATACTGATTCCAATAATAATAGCTCTAATTACAAAGAATGAAAATGGATTGGAGTTCTTCTGGATTTATCCGTTCCAAAAACATGTCCAATCAAAATATATGAATCTGAGAAGAAATTCTTATTATATTCGTTATCCATTTATATGGAATTTAATTATCTGTTCATATTTTTTGGCACATTTAGGACTCCATAAAAGCCAGCCTGAGATTGTTTGCATGAAAGAAAGGAGAAATGAAAGGTGACGTAACGGAAAACAGATGCAGGAACTCTAGAGAGATTTTTAATAGGAAGAGTAAAAGAACGATAAGATGAGTCTTAACTGGAGCTTAACAGGAAGTAGTTTAGTTTTGGTTGCAGTTTGTAAAAAACCAAAAAAAAAACGCTGTTTGTTTTTTCATGTGGAGTGAAGATGAACTGGTGGGATCTGAAGCCTTTGTGTTTTTTCCACCACCAGCAGAGTTTCGTGAACCATGAGCTGAATAGACTGAAGCAAACTGCTTGAACTTTGACCCCCCCCCCCCCCCCAACCATGTAGTCAGTGTGGAGATTTGACAGGCTTCTGGAAGTTGACTGAGCGGTTCAGAGGAAGTAGAAAAGAAACATTAGATGCAGGAAAGACAAAAACTAGGGGAAGATAAATGGCACGAGGAGCTAATACATGGGAAAGACTGTCATACAAGCAATGTGACCGTGGCCTTGAGGACCGTGACGGGGGTTTCCTCCAACCGCAAGTCACTTTGATTAACTGCTTGTTCGCTTTTTGCATTATGTGAGCTCCTCGAATCCATGAGTGCAAGAAAAGGAGGTCTGTGAGTGCTGATAGCTGCTGAGACCAGAGAGGAAAAACAGCGGCATTGTGTGCGTTTCAACCCGTCTGTCAGCAGGCATTCATTTAAAACGCAACTTTTTGATACGCTTATCTTGAACTAAAATGTGCAGCCTTGACCTCATAAACCTCTCTTAAGGATAAAATAAGAGTGGGACACAAATCAAGGCACGCAGGACTGTAGTAAACATGAGGGTTTAAAGGCAGAAAAACTAAAGAAATGCATCAGAGTGCAAAAGAAGGCTCAACGAGAAAAGGGTTTTCTTAAGAAAAGGCCTTAAAAACCTTTGATATATATGCAATATTTTTTGTGATGATGTAATCTATCAGTTAAAAGTCAAAGAGGCTTTTTCTTGTTTGCGTGGAATTTTTTTTTTTTTTTTTTTTTTTGAGGGGGGGGGGTAATTTTAAAGAAAACGGTCAATAATCTGGACAAACAAGTCAAAACATTAATGTTCATTGCATTTTATCTTTATGTTGCAAAATGCTGTTTGCTGTTTGAGCTGCAGGTACTAAATGATGTCAAACTGAGGGTGCTGCAGGGCGTTTCTGTAGGAGACTGTCGCCATCTAGTGGTCAAACACGCCAACTGTTCTCTTGCTTCTGTGTCAAACTTGATTTATCTTATAGAGTTATTTTGTTTTTATTTTTGTTACAACCAAAGAGATTTTTTGTGTTGTTGCCTGGAGCAAAACATCTATTAGGGGCCTCATCCCACCAGAGGGAAAAACATACAGTATATATAGTTTAGAGGTTTTATTTAAAGGGGTTTTAACCCCAGTTTCTTCTATTATTAAACACTGGGTTAATTTTATGGAAGCAAAAAAGGGCCTTTAGAATTTAAATGAATTAATTTTATATATAATCTCTGGGTTATCATGGGCAAAAGTCCAGCATTATAAACTTTAACACGCAAGGTTTAAAAGAGAAGGCGGCCAACTGGAATATGTTAGAAAATGTTGGATTTAATAACCATTAAGTCATTTAATAACTTAATGGTTACATGTAAATACAAGAAATTTAAATTTGGAGGTCTTTTTAAATGCTTAATTTTTAGTATGTCATTTGAAAACTTTGAGTATATAATTTTAATTATTGGTGGTTTTACTTTTTCAAGGTTAACAAATTCAGAAAACAAAATACAATTATTTTGGCCCTCTTTTGCTTCCATACTTTATAGTTGAAAGTGATGCGAAAGTCTGAATGGAAACAGTAACTGAATCTTGAAGCCATGTTGTTGCTTTTTGTGTATCTCATAAACAACTTTAGCTGTTAAAACACATCATCCCCGACTATTTGCATGAAATTTAATTTTTGGGGCACTTTAACTTTGAATTCAGGGAAAACGGGTTTTTAAAATTTAATTTTTTCTCCTGTGTACCGCGATCACATGCTCTACTTTATCTTAACATCTAACGCACTATAATCTTATTATTCTTTTTCTGTTTTAACTGATGAAAGTATAGTGTGGCAGAAGTCGACGATTGTGAGGTCATTTAATAAGTTTTGGTCTCAGTGAGCTTCCGTAGGATTTTGCTCAGAGTTGGCTGTGAAATATTTTGCTTACTGTAAACAATCCTGGGCTGTTCAACATTAAAAGCATGCGTTATTTTAGATAAAACAGCAGTCGGACAGCGTCTGGAAAATAGTTTTCAGATGCCGTTTACCTGCTGCTGATAGAAATTAGGATTTCTGAGGAATTATGTCATGGAAAGCTTTTTGGGCCAGTAGTGTTCATGTATGAAGATCAGATATAATACCTTGTATGTATTCAGAGATGTTGTTTTTAAGGCTGTTCAAACATACCTAGAGTCTGATAGCGTGCAAACCATTGGCTCCTTAGTCTTAATTGAAATATTCTTATACTTTCTGTCATTTTACACTATTTAAACCTGTTTTCCTTGTTAGCATATGTTTTATTTCTTTAGATGTTGCTGAAATTTGACTATTGTTCTGATTGTTAGGCTAATTTGGATTAATTCTTTATAAAAACATCACAAAATCATCAAGCCTGTTGAATGTTAATATTTTTACGCTTCATGCGTATTTAAGAGCTTTCAGCCTTCCCTTTGCTTTTCTTTGAAACTAGCTTCACATTTTCACTTTTAGTATTTTTTTTTGTCCCCAAACTGGATATAAATTTATATAGGATAATATAGTGTAAAATGACAGCTCAGAAAACATTCACGAACGTTACATGTAAGAATATGTATTACTTCATTGTTTTAAATCTTTAAATCTTGTTCTTTAAAGACAAACAAAAAAACCCAAACAAACTAAACTAAATTCGTTCACAAGCTTAATTTTCTGAGCAGTTTTGAAGCTTCTCTTCTCAGATTTGTGCGCTTGGGTCTGTGGTTTGAACATCCACAAACTGTTGTGTTAAATGCCAAAGACCTGTGTTGTTGAAGCTCTTCCTGATTTTTCCCAGTGATGCTGTTTTTGTTGTTGTTGTTGTTGTTGTTCACCCAGACTCACTATAGAGAAGCGATACACCTTTTCAGGTTTATGACGAGCTTGAAAACACAACGCTAACTCTGTTGTTCTACACTT